ACTTTTTATATGCCTCTCTCAATCTGCCTTTCCACCTATTTGTGTCTGCAAATTTGGTTACAGTAGATTCACTTCCATTCTCCAAGTCATTAATGTATAATATAAACTGTTACAGTCACATCACAAATTCCTGTAGAACTCCATTGGTCACAGGTCATCAATGTGAAAAGAACCAGTTATCCCAACTCAGCGTTTCCTGCCCATTAGACAGTTTTCCGACCATTTCCCTTTCATGAAGCCAATCTGACTCTGCTTCATTGTATTATGGTTTTCCAAATGTTCTGCTATTACTTCCTTAATAATTGATTCCAATAATTTTCCAACAATAGAAGTTAGGCTAATCACCGTATACTTTGCTGCTGTTTTTCACCATCCTCCCTTTCTGAATAGGTGTGTCACATTGTCAGTTTTCCAAATCTCTGGCACTTCTCCAGAATTCAATGATTTTTGGGAAATTACAAACAATGCATCCACTATCTCTGTAGCTAGATCTTTTAGGATTCTGGGATTGTATAATGCAAGCCATTTCATCCTCAAGACTTACTTGCCATTAAGCCCCATTCATTTGTCTAATACTACTTCTCTGGTGGTGATGGTACTTAATTCATTTCCCATATTCTTTAGTAATAATAGGATGCTCAAAGCATCATCCACTGTAGAGACTGATGCAAAATAGCTGTTTAAACCATCTGCCATTTCCTTTCCTCCAAAACTGTCTCCAAAGTTTCAGTTTTAAAGATAATTTGATAAAAGCATTGATTTTTTTCAGTTACGCATAGAACAAGGACTTTTTTGATTGTGGTCTACAGTTATTCAAATAAAAAAAGTCACATATCAAATAAAAACAGAAATGCCAGAAATACTCAGCAAATGAGCTAGCATCTAAGCAGAGGAACGGAGTTTATATTTCAATCAATAAGTTTCCTTCAGAACTATATTGTTACCGTCTGACTGGCTATTTCCGGCATTTTCTGTTTTTATTTCAAATTTCCAGCTCTTGCAGTATTTTGCTTTATATCTGTAAAAGCTTTGGGTAACTGAGCAAATCAAAGTTGGATTTAAAGTTTGAAGAAAGTCCAATTCATATTGTATCGTTCCCACGTTGCTACTTTTAAAAAATATGAAACAGCCCATGCATAGAAGCTATGCACAAATAACTGGAGTCAGCAGTGGTGAAATAGCTAGACCTGAAAGGGGCCATTGTTTTGCCTAGCATCACTGCAAACTAGCCTGCACTGTTTAAAATAAACGCACCTCAAAGTGGAGGCTCATTCTGTCTGGTACAAGTGAACAGAACAGGGGAAAAAGGAGGCTCAAAGGTTGTGAAACTCTCCACTAGTCATCTTGAAAGAACAGGTGGAAAAGAGAAAAGATGTCCTTACCCACCTTCTGTGTGCTTGGGTAAATGGGCAAGCATCATTGACAAACAACAAATTAGTCAAGATTCATACCTAACATTCCTATGCTTCACCACTCCCTTCGATACCTAACATTGCTGGAAACCTCACACCCACATCTCAAATTCCACATATTGCCTGTTCTTCAAATGCAGCAGCCACATCAGCTAAACAAATTGCACAACTCACGATGATGGACTTTCCTCTCTTGGAGGCAGAAGAAACCTAAAGGTGGATTGGCACATGTGCACGTCCTAACCTCATGGAGATGAGAATGCTGGTCAGAACTGGAATAGCCATTGCTAACCCTGCAGCCAGTGGCGAGAATCATTCCTCATCCCTCTCATCAGACCCAACTTCACTCTCAAGCCACACATTCCAGACCTACAAGCTGCAGATAAAGTAAGCTTGCATCTCTTACTTTATCCCCTCCCCCTCAACCACAACCTTACAATCATGCCTTTTTGCCTTTAAGATATCCAAGCAGTGGAGGAACATAAAGAGTGAGTGTGGCACAGTGTCACTTGATTTCACACTCAAAGACCCGAGTTCAAATGTTGATGGAGTGCACGTCTCAGAGAACAAATTAGTGGTGAAGTTGCTCATGGTGAGACAACGACCATGAGTGGGTTGCAACCAGAGCAGGGAGCAAGGTTACAGGTGCCAACTGAGCAGAGCGCAATGTCAGGCAATGGTCAGGCTATTGCAGAGGATTCAGGTGAGGATTTTGGTAGGACAGAAGAACTTGAATCGATGCACACAAAGAAATACTTGATGCATCTGAAAGCCTACCAAAAAAGACCTGCTGTCAATGTTAAGGAAACGGTGATCAACTCCATTCAATTATTGTGGACTTCACAGCTATTGAAGTAATTTTGGATTGTAGCCCTTCTTGCATTATAAATTTTGAAGCCAAGTTGCATAAAACAAAGAAGCATAAACAATGCTTAATGTATAATTTGATTTAGTGGTACTAGTTGAAGCATACTTGTTACTACATTGAGAGGATGCTTCTTCTCTTCTTCAAATTGTTGCACAAGATCTTTCACATCCTGCCAAGAGGATACATGCTGTCTCAGTTCAATACCTTCAATATCATACCGAATTGTCAGCCTACATTATCTATTAGTTTATGGAATTGGGCTCCAAACCATGACTTTCAAATTGGGAGGCAAGTGAGCTACCATTCAACCAAAACAAACTTCTTGGGCAAAAAAAAATCCTTAATAATCATCCTCAACCAGAAAAGATATTTGACAAAGCAATAAGAAGTAATGCAATACAAAAACACAAGAATTTGGAGTGGAGTTTGCTTTTCAGCTTTATTAAGCCTGTTCCACTATTTGTTAAGATCGTTGGTGATCTAATTGTGGCCTTAACCTTCAACATGTTTCTTGATAAAAAAGAATCTACTCACCTAGCCTTGAACACTTTCATAGAACCTGCTTCCACTGCTCGCTGGGGAAAGAAATGAAATCCACAGACTTGTGACCCTCAGAAAATAAAATCTTCATCCGAGTCTCAAATGGGAGAACCATGATTTTGAAACTGTGCCCCTCCATTCTAGACTAGTCCCACCAATCCACTTAGAATTTTCTATTTCAATAAGATCATCTCTCATTCATCTAGGCTGCTATGAATGTAAACGCAATCTATTTAACTTTTCCTCATAAGATAAGGCTTTCTGCCCAGGAATCAGCTAAAAGTACCTTCCCCAAACTGTTTTTGGTACAGTTATGTTCTTTCTTAAGAAAAGAAAAACTGTACACAGTACTCCAGATGCTATTTAAGATTCTGTACAGCTGTAGCAACACTTCCCCTTCCCAGCAGGTACGCTGTGCCTGCATACCTTTTACTATTCATGTACCAATTATGAAGATAGTGCACTGATATCAGAAATTGCTTATGACATGAGCATCTCATGGCTTTTGAAAGAGGTAAGTCTGTATTTTTTTTTTAAATATAGAATCCCTACAGTGTGAAAACAGGCCCCTTGGCCCAACAAGTCCACACTGACCCTCAGAGCATCCCACCCAGACCCAGCCCCCTAATCTACACATCCCTGAACACTATGGGCAATTTAGCTTGGCCAATCCACCTGGCCTGCACACCTTTGGACTGTGGGAGGAAACCAGAGCACCTGGAGGAAACCCATGCAGACACAAGGAGAATGTGCAACTCCACACAGACAGTTTTTGCTAGTTAAACATAGGAGAAAGTAGGAGTTCTATTAACACAGTCCAGCAATAACGCAGATTCATTCTTTTGGACTGGGATGCGGGCTTCACTAGCTGCACCAGCATTTATTGTCCATTTCTAATTACTCTGGAGGTGGTGGTGGTTAGTTGCCTGGTTGAACCACTGCAGTCCATATGGTATACTACAATTACAATGCCTTAGGGAGTTCTATTTTCTACTCTTGCTGCCAAAGTGAGAAATCCACTTATTAATGGACCAGATCAGGCCCCCCTCAAACTATTTTAAGAAGGTAGTCTAGACCTTTATTTTACTTATTTTAAAAGGTAGATGTGAAGTGCCATGTTCCAGATGCAATGCAACTGATCAAACTACTCAATGTAAAGCAAAACAATTTACTTAAAGAGTATAGTTAAAATATAAACAAAAGAAAGAGGAATTTAGAATAATTTAACTATTGGAAAACTTAACCAAATTATAGGCACAGTAACTATTTCTAATTAACTATTACAATACAGTAACATTCCGTAAACACCTCCCTTGGCAAAAAGGCAAATTCAGACATGGATTCTCACATGCAGTTCTCCAATCCAGGAGGAAAAAACATCAAAAGAAGATTCAGAGTGGAGCAGCCAGGAGACATTCACTGAAGCTTCCAACTCGAGACCCCAAAGGCTTCTGCTTAAAACTAAACCTAAAACCAAAAAAAAAAACACTAGAAAGCCTGGTCTGACAGAGCTGGCCACACCCAGGCTGCTTCCATTGTTCCAACTTTAAAAGAAACCCAAGTTTTGTCTTAGAGACAGTTGTCACCTCTGCCTTATAGCCTCTCCTCAAAAACAAAACCAGGACAAAATAACCTCTTAAAGTGACAGCATTCTCACAACTTGCATTAGATCTTCAAAAATGTGCCGCTCTAAAGTAATAATTTTAGGCCTATTAAATTATTGCACAAATTATTTCAAAATACAGGAAAGTAAGGTGAATAAAGTGCAGACACAAACTCGATTTTCTACTATCTTGATGCAAAGACCTTCTTATAATAGTTAAGAATAAATTACATTATGACTTACACAAGATAGAACTCACTGAAAATGAAACAGGTTAAATACTACAGACTGAAAGAATTTCTCAAGATTTGGAGATAGCAAGAACTGCTGATGCTGGAGTCAGAGATAACAGTGTGGAGCTGGAGGAGCACAGCAGGTCAGGCAGCATTAAGAAAAGCAGGAAAGCTGACATTTCGGGTCAGGACCCTTTCTGAAGAAGGGGTTCCCACCCGAAACATCAGCTTTCCTGCTCCGCTCTTCCAGCCCCACACTATGTTGTCCCATTCAAGATTTGGATTGTCAACGTTCTACAAACTTACATTTTGATTACATTAGATTTGAATCATAAAAATCATACCTCAGTCTTTAGTGAGAGTCCACTGTTTAAAAATATTGTTGAAACAGCAACATAAGTTATAGTAAACTCTGGCCTCAATGGTCCTATATATTGAAAAATACAGAATATTTTAATTATAAAATCTCTCATCCTTCTCTTTTCCCTAAAATCGCTACTGGAGATTTTATTTTACATTAGGTGACATTTGTATATAAACATTAATCTAAACAATCTGTTAAAAGAATTAACTTTTTTAAATAGTCAACACTTTTTCTTCTGTAGAATAGAAAATTATTTATAAAAAATAAAGTTCAGTCGTAAAAACACCAGTTAGCTCAGTTGATTAGATGGCTAGCATGTGATTTAAAATAACATCAACAGCACAGATTCACTTCCATTCTGTTGAAGTAAACGTAAAAACTACTTCTTCCCACTTCTAGAGAACGGAAGGTAATGGCCAAACTGCCAGGAAAACAGTTCAGAATTAAACATCAGCAGGTAAGGAGCCAAAAAATTATTTCACAGTAGGCTTTCCTCGCAAATGCACGAAAATAAATGGTCCTTTAACCCGATTTCCCAAGTCCTCATCAATTTATTGATAATAGAGTAGACTTAGGAGGTTGAATAACCTACTCCCTCTAATTCCTGCATTTGTTTACACTCACATTTGAAATATTATGTTTGAATGTAAACGTGGGCAGATTTATAGATTCAAATTGAAACTGCTTATAATCCATTTTTTTAAAAAGCAGGGGTACAACACTTGTTTCTCACTTTAAAGTCTGTGAAACTCTGCATTAAAAATTCAATCACTGTTACAAAGATCAACGTAGCCTATTACTTGCACACAAGCTTCCAGAAACAGAAAATGTAACAAGTGACCAGATAACTCGCTCTTGGAAGGATTAAAGACATTCATGCATGTCTAGAAGAATTCTGAGGGGCAGGTAGAGTACTCAGTTCTTCCAAAGGTCTTCCAAAAATTCTATAATACTGGACAGTGTTAATCCAGTCCATCATGGACAAGATACAAGTCAAATGTATGTTGAAATACTCTCCACTTGCCTAAACAAGCACAGTACAACATTCAAGAAGCTCAATATCATGCATAACGGAGTCGGCTTGATATAACACCCCATCATCTGCCTTAAACATTCACCCTCTATACTCTGGCACACCATTGTTACAGTCTGTACCAAATGCACTGCGGTAACTTGCAAAGGCTGATATGACAACAACTTTTAAATTCCCAAACTCTACCGTCTAAAAGAACAATGCAGACATATAGGGACACTGATACCTGAAAGTTCCCTTCCAAGTCTCATACCATTCCTAACGTGGAAAAATATATCTACTACAACACAGTTGCTGCGTCAAGATCGTAGAATTTCCTCTCTAAGAACATAGAATCATAGAATCCCTATCATGTGGAAACAGGCTCTTCGGCCCAATAAGTCCACAACGACTCAGAGCATCCCACCCAGACCCTTCCCCCTATAACCCACCTAATCTACACATCCCTGGACACTACGGGCAATTTTCCATAGCCAATCCACCTAGCCTGCACATTATTTTTGGACTGAGGGAGGAAACTGGAGCACCCGGAAGAAATCCACGCAGACATGGGGAGAATGTGCAAACTCCACACAGACAGTCGCCCAAGGGTGGAATCAAACCCAGGTCCCTAGCGCTGTGAAGCAGCAGTGCTAACCACTGAGCCACCATGCCACCCAACACCATAACGTTTCTACACAACATGGACAAGAGTGGTTCAAAAACATGGCCCACCACTACTTTCTCATGAATAATTAGGGATGGATAATTAAAAGAAGAGGTCCAAGGAATAGAAGTGATGCAGCAGTCATATGCAATTTAAATCTTCATATAGGGAGGCTGAATCAAATTGGCAAAATTAGAATGTGGACAGATTCTTGGAAAGCATTCAAAACAATGTGGAACCAATCAAAGAAAGACTATCTTAGATGCACTCTTTCGTAATGAGACAGGATTAATTAAAAATCTCACATGATAGTTCTTCACAGAGGATCCCTTCCCAAAACATTAGAGTTTTATAATGAGTAAAGTACATTTTATTATGTTGTACTTAAGTTTAAAACAAGGGTACAAAGATGTAAACAAAGTCAAATGCACAGTTATGAATGGCATATGGCTGAGGTAAATTGTTATGTTTCACAATAAAATAACAATGGAAAACATTTAAAGAAATATTTCATAATTCTCAACAGGTATACATTCATATCAGAAATAAAAGCTCAGCAGGAAAAGTGACCTACCCATAGCTAATTGGTTTACTGCAATATCACCATGGTGGCAGATACCAAATTGCAAGGACGATAAAAATAATCATAATTTGTAACCTAGTTGCTGGGTCAAGATTGTAGAATTTCCTCCCAAATGACCACAAAGAGTAATTATTATTTTAATGATTATTTTATTTTGAAATAGAAAATAAGGAAAGGATTGCACAATTATGAACATTTCAGTACTCAAATAATTATGCATATGTTTCAAACTGTGGCTATCTAAAAAGGTTAATGACAGTAATGAAGAAGCTTATAATGTTGCCAAGAGTAAGAAGCCTGAGGTATCGTTAAAGGAAAGAGTCAGAATAAATAAATCATTTTAAGGTCAGCAGGCTGTTAGTGGAGTGGCACAAGGTTTGGTGATGGGACATCAGCTATTTACAATCTACAGTATGTTAATGAGCTGTCTGAAAGGACTGAGTGTACTGTATCCATCACTGCCGATACTACAGGGAAAACTGGGCTGTGGGGACAGCACAAACAGTCTAATAAAGGGATATCAATGAGTTAAGTGAATAGGCAAGAAAACAGCAGATGTAGTATAATGTTGTGAATTATGAGCTATTCACTTTGGCAGGGAATGTTTTTTTTTGCAAAAGATGAGAAATTAGTAAACCTGTCCTGATATATAAAACAAAATTAACATGCAACCAAAACAAACAATGCAAACAATTAGGAAGACAAATGATGTGTTGGTCTTTAAAGCAAGGGGTTGGAGTACAAGAGTTAGGAAATCTTGCTGCAATTGTACAGAGCTTTGGCACGACCAAACCTGAAACACTGTGCATAGTTTAGGTTTCCATATCAACTGAAGGATACATTTGCTTTAGGGAGGGGTTGAAACAAAGATTCACTAGACTAGTCAAAAAGAATAGATCATATGCTAGAAATCTCAATGTCAGAAAATGCTGGAAAAACTCACCAGATTTGGCAGCATCTGTATAGAGGGAAATGAATAGAGTTAGTGTTTCTGATGTGTGACAGTACATTTCTAACTTTCTCTGGTTCTGGTGAAATAGGTTTTAAGCAAGGGGTGGGCAAGAGAAGGACAAAAGGGGAAGTCTATGATAGAAAGGAAAGGTATAAAGTCAGAAAAAGCATTCTTAAAGATATAAGAAAGACAGAAAAAAAGCCAAGAGGAATGGAGATAGGACAAGAAAAAAAAAGTACATGCTTAGTGCAGATGTGCCACTAATTTAAATATTAAAAAATTAAAATAATGAGATGAGGAAATAAACTGAGTGATAGGGTTTAATATTTGAAATTGCTGAATTCACTGCTGTCCAAAATGTTACAAAGTATCTAACCGAACAACAAGATTATTGTTCCTGTTTCTTTCCTACATTTTTCCAATTTTAGATTTTTTTAATCCATTCGTGGGATATCAACATCACTGGCAAGGCCAGTCATCATCTCTAATTACCGAGACAGCATTGCTGTGTGTCTGGAGTCACTGTAGGCCAAACCAGGTAAGTGTAGCAGCTTTCCTTCCTTAAAAGGACGTTAACGAGCATGATGACGCTTTAAATAACAATGAACAGTGGTTACATGGTTACCATCAGGCTATCTTTTTATTCCATATTTCAATTGAATTCAGATTTCATCATCTGCCATGGTGAGATTTAAATCTTTATCCCCACAACATTAGCCAAGGGTTCTGGATTACTAGTCCAGTGGCATTACCACTTATGTTCTGCTAGTAGCAAATCTACTAAAGGCACATATTTTGTTTCTTTTCTTGCCCCAGCCCCATTCTTTTTCTTTCCCTCTTGTCATTCACCCATCACAGACCTTCCTTTTGACCTTGTAATACGATTTAAACAGTGCATGGGACGCCTCCAAATGGTTTCCCAGGTCTGATGTAAGGTAATAGACACAAAACATCAACTGAGTTTCTCTCTCTACATAGATGCTGCCTAACCTTTGAGTTTTTCCAGTATTTTCTGTTTTTATTTCACTAGTTTGATTTCTGCAGTGAGAATTTTTCCTGTGAAGAGAGTAAAATGGGCCCATAACCTTTGGAGTTTAGAATAAAGTTGATTTCATTGGAATACAAGATTCTGAGGGAGCATGACAGGGTAGACACAGAGGCTGAATCTCCTAGCTTCACAGTCTAAACCCATAGTCTCACAACCAGGGGTTAGCTATTTTGAACTGAGATGAAGAAATTTTTGTGATTATTTGGATTCCTCTATCCCAGAGGACTGGTTGTTCAGTTGCTGAATACTCAAGATTGAGAGCAACGGTTACTTGGAATCTAACTGAGTCAAGGTATATGAGAATTAGGTGATAAAATGGAGTTGACATTCAAAATCAGGCATCTTACAGAATGGCAGATCAGGCTTGAAGACTTATGGAATGTTCTTGCTCCTATTCTGATATGCTTAAACATTTTTGAATGTACTTTTATTTTAAGTCATTAAAATAAGATTGTATTCCCACTATATACTAGAAATTTTAAGTAAATTCTAGTATATAAATTAATTTACTCAGGTGATGAATTGACATGGATTAATAATGCTTGTGATATCACCAGGTTATCACTCCCATTTTTCTTCATATATTTAAGTATTTAAAAAATAACATCAAAAGTGAAAGATTTCCTAACTCCTGGAAGGATATCCATGCTGTTTTCTTCTGGTTAAAATTTTATTCCAATAAGGAAATCTACCTCCCATCCTTACACATACCAGATAGATAAATTGATTTATCTGTTATACAAATAATATTCTCACTGATATTATAATTATCAGATACTGGGTTTGAACAGGATTTAGAAATGCAATACATGTTTTGTCAGTACGGGTTAATGTACAGAATAAGTGGGATATTTAATATATTTTAAACAGTGAAAACCACAGTACCTCAAAAGGCTGAGTTCCCACTGCAAAAAGGCATTCATCTCAGAACATTGCAAGTTAGTATTGGTATCCCTTGGAACACAATTAAAAATATACACAGCGCCATATTGGGCCGAACATACTGAAACTAGATGCATGTTTTCTTAGACTTGTGGCTGAATACACGAATATAAACACTGCAATAAACAAAATACGGGAGTCAATTTGCAAGGTGTCCTGTGTACAGGCTGCACAAGGAAGCAAATCAAAAGCAATAGTCCTTGTTAAACCAGGTTAATTAAAAAAAGCTGCAGATGTGCACACAAGAATAAGTCACTTCCTAGATTTAGTTAACTCCTCGCGATCCTGGGCTGGCTAATACCCCGGACTGCGAAGACGTCCAGGTTCCTGGCCACCAATGACTGACAACCTAAGTGTGTGAACTCACCTCCATGCATTCCCACGGAAGGCTGCAGATAAGCGAAGGTGATTGCCAGCCCTATAGCTACCAGGAACCACTGCTTCCGGACACGTTCCAGCAGCCCCATAGCCTTTCAGACAGACACGGCGTACAGCCACCGAGCCACACTCCAAACGTCGCTTCCGCCTCTACCGCACGGGTTCTCCCACCCTGCCCGTGCCCACTCCCGGACTCGAGCCGCTCGAGATCCACGTCGATCGTATCCTGGTCTGACTGCGTGGCCGGCGGAGGCGGTACCAGAGGAGCAGGGGCCCGGCAGAAGAAAAGCTTCAGGAAGAAAGGCAAGGTAGACATTTGTACAGAGAAAGGCTGACAGGTTCATTTCTCAGTAATCACCGTACATAGGCGCTGGATAATAAAAATGCGGGTGCCTTGTCAACTGCTTCTTCTATTCGCCGCTGTTTTGGAATGAAAGCGTTGATTGCCGGAACACGTGCAGCTGCGTTGAGATAACAAGGTGTAGAGCTGGATGAACACAGCAGGCCAAGCAGCATCAGAAGAGCAGGAAGGCTGACGTTTCGGGTCTAGATCTTTCTTCAGAAAAGCTGCGTTGAGCCTTGTTTCCAGAAGTTTAAAATAATCACACTTCTAGTCTTAATGTATTGGAGCTTCAAGGATTATGTTTCTTGTACCGCTCCGTGTGTACGACAGGTTGACTACATGACTGTAGTGGCAACACAACCTGATATATGTTTTATAATAATTGGAGAGAAAGCAGGAACAGCTTATTGATTTGGATGATCAGCTATCATCCATCATATTGAACGATGGAGCAAGCTCGAACTGTTCAATGGCTGACTCCTATATTCTGTGTTTCAATAGATCTCTGTTTAAATATATAATGTTTCTATATAGATACCACCGTTCCAATGATTAACTTTCATCTAAACTTATGATTATAAAGGTAAATAATTGAATAAATGAGCACTTTAAATATTGTTACAGTTTTTAATAAAATTCTTATTTATTGTATTGCATAAGTGGTTGGATGTTGTCATGTCTTCTTCGAGTTCTCATAAATTTGCAGTGATCACACCTGAGTCTAAATACTGGAGCCGTTCAGCAAGGAATATACTCAGATCTCTATATCTGACCCTAGGATAAAGATTAACACAACAATTAGTTTCTAGCTCTAGGATTAATATAACAATATGTAAATTCTTTCTTCTAGAGGTGCTTGTTATTAATATAACTGTTAAAATCATTAACATTTCATCTAAAGTAATGATTAACAATTGACTTTGATACGTAAGCTTGAGTCATTTAAAATGCATTTTCCCCTTTTATTTGTGGTTTTCTTTAGGTGGTAGGATAACATCCATCATCAGTGTTCTCAGTGGTAAATTGGCATGTTGCATAAGCAATGATACTCTGGGTGTTGGAGTTGTGCTTATGTTGTGTCACCTGCCAGTAACAGTGTTGATGTCGCACCTTTTGTTCCTGATATTTTCTTGCTTGTTGGTGCTATCTTTCCATCTTTTCCACTTCTGCAGTTCAAATGTAGGTCAAATATTGGACTCATTTGTTCACTGGTTTTGGTCTCAATGGCGAATGGCTTTGGAGTCTCAGCCTCATCAACAACATTTGCTAGGTTCCAAGTTTTCATGATTGGATTCTGTGCAGTTTGTCTTTTCAATAGCTGAGGCAGGGATTGGCATACATGTTGAATATTGACCTCCTTCCATCCGTGCATGTGAGAATGTCTTGCCTTCAGTAACTTGGAGTGAGTGTCATGCTTCATGGGTATACTTATACTTCAATTCAATATTTCTGCAGATAATTTCACTTTAGCTTTGAGAAGTGTTAGCCAGAATCACAATAAGGCAAGGTTTGGGATTTCCTTGTTTTTCTCTGCATTTCATGAGAGTTAATTTGGACATCTGGATGTTTCTTCCGACAAACTCATGTTCTCTTGGTGAAAGTGGTAATGATGTTAAACCCATACTGTTCAGTGAATTGTCAAATTTTCTATTGATGAATTGGGTGGGTTTGATTGTCACTGAAGACCAGGTGAGTTGGAATGATATGGCTCACTTCTCTTCTTTGTCCTCACTTAAAGGTTACATTCGTTAATTCAGTGTGCACTTACTGTTTATACATGTGGCTATATTAAAAAAAAAAGCAGAGGTTTTATTTAGTTTAGTGAGTAGGAGTTAGTTTTATTACACTAAAACCTAACCTATGTTTAAGAAAGGTAAAAATACATTCTGACTTCCACTACCTGTGCACATGCACACGCACTCAAACCACTCTCAAAAATACAAATTACAAACTGGAGATTAAATTTGATCAAATATCAGCCCTTTAAATATGTCATTATTAAAAAGGTCACGACAAAGCTGGCTGTCTCATGCAGCTATAGCATTTGGTTCTAAACTGAAGCATTTCAAAATTGTAACTGATTTCTTGTGTAAGCTGTAAGATCTGTAGTCTTTCTTTTAAATCTGTTCACTGTGAGAATCAAACCTTAGCAGGCAGGGCACCATTCCTGGGGAAAGAGAAAGCTGCTGTTTTGCCAAAGTCCATGTGGTCAGAAATGCACATTGAAAAGCTTTATCAAATGACTTCTTTCCAACTGTGAGCTGAAGTTGAAAAATCAATTGCATGTTCAAAAAGATGAAGGGTCTAGGCCTGAAAAGTCAGCCTTTCTGCTCCTATGATGCTGCTTGGCCTGCTGTGTTCATCCAGCTCTGCACCTTGTTGTCTTGCATGTTCAAAAATGTTAGTTGATTAGCTCATTTCAGTGCAGTTACCTTAACCATTATTACAATGGCCCAAGTGATCAGATTTAATGTTTTGTTTCCAACAATGGTGGACAATTGCCCAGGTATATCTTGTAGATAAAAAGCAGGACAAATCTAATCTGGCCAATTACAGTCCCACCCATTGACTTAAACTATCAGTAAAGTGATTAAAAAGGTTCGTAGAGCATGTAAACAGAACCTTTGGTTCTGTTCATCTACACCTACCAGATTTCCCAATGTGACCTTGTCCCATTTGCAAGCATTTGGCCCATGTCCCTCTAAACCCTTCCTATTCATATACCATCCAGGTGCCCTTAAAATGTCATAATTGTACCTGCCTACATCTCTTCCTCTGGCAGCTGGTTCCATACATGCACCATCCTCTGTGTGAAAATATTATCCCTCAGGTCCTTTTTAAATCTTTCCACTCTCAATTTAAAACTATGTCCTCTAATTTTGGGCTCCCCCACCTTAGGAAAAAAGACTTTGGCTATTCCCCCCATCATCGTCCCTCGTGACCTCTGAGGTCATCCTTCAATCTCCTGACTCTGCAGGGAATAAAGCTCCAGACCTCTGGTCCCAGTAACATCTTTGCACATCTTTTCTGCACCCTCTCAAGTTTAACAACTTATTTCCCAAAGAAGAGTGACCAGCATTGTACACAGAATTCCAGTAGTGGCCTCACCAATGTCCTATATAGCCTCAACATGACATCCCAACTTCTACACTCACTGTTATGACCAATGAAGACAAGCATACCAAATGCCTTCTTCACTACTGTCTACCTGCAACTCCAGTTTCAAGGAACTATGCACCTCCACCCCTAGGTCTCTTTGTTCAGCAACACACCCCACGGCCCTACCATTAACTGGAGAAGTCCTATCCTGAGTTGACTTACCAAAATGCAACACCTCACGTTTATCTAAAACTCCATCTGCCACTCCTTGGCCCATTGGCCGCTCTGATTAAGGTGCCGCTGTACTTCTTCACTGTCCATTACACCACTTATTTTGGTTAGCAATCTTATTAGCAAAACACTGCTCACTGCAACTAGTCCAGATTCTATCAGAACAACCGGGTCCTGACCTCACTACAACTAATTAGAGTCATGCCTGACATGAAGAAAGGTGGTTGGGGTTTTTGGAGATCAGTCATCTTGACTCCAGGATCTCTACTGGTGTTCCCCTGCAGATGGTGTTCTAGGCCCAACTAGCTTCAGCTGCTTTTACAATGACTTTCCTTCCATCTCAAGATCAGAAGTGGGGACATTCACTGACTGTATAATGTTCAGCAATATTTATTACTCCTCAGATACTGAAGCAGTCTATGTCCATGTGCAGCAAGACCCAGAAAATATGCAGATTTAGGCTGATAAGTGGCAAGTAACATGGGTGGCATGGTAGCTCAGTGGTGGTTAGCACTGCTGCCTTACAGCACCAGGGACCCAGGTTCGATTCCGCCCTCAGGCGATTGTCTGTGTGGAGTTTGCACGTTCTCCCCGCGTCTGCGTGGGTTTTCACCGGGTGCTCCGGATTCCTCCCACAGTCGAAAGATGTGCAGGTTAGGTGGATTGGCCATGCTAAATTGCCCGTAGTGTCCAGGGGTGTGTAAGTTAGGTGGACTAGCCATGGGAAATGCAAGGTTACAGGGAATGGGTCTGGGTGGGATGCTGTTCAGAGGGGCGGTGTGGACTTGTTGGGCCAATTGGCCTGTTTTCACACTGTAGGGATTCAATGAACAGTCATACCACACAAGTGCTAAGCAATGGATAAATCTGAGACTGAATGAAACCATTATCCCATGACATTCAATAGCATTATCGAAACTGAATCCCTCACACTTAACATGCATGGGGTATTACCATTGACTGGAAACTGAACTGAACTGAACTAACCAGACAAATATTGTGGCAATAAGAACAAGCCAGAGGCCAAGAATTGTGCAATGAGTAACTCGCCCCTTGACTCCAAAAAGCCTGTCCATCATCTACAAGGCGCAAGTCAGGAGTGTGATGAACTATTCCTCACTTGCCTGGATGAGTGCAGCTCCAACAATACGCTAGAAGCTCAACACTGTCCAAGACAAAGCAGTCCCCTTGATTGGCACCTCATTCATAAACATTCACTTTCTCCACCACTGACATTAAGTAGCAGTAGTATGTACCATCTACAAAATCCACTGCAGAAATTCACTGAGGCTCCTAAGACAGCACGTTCCAAGGCTATGATCTAGAAAGACAATGTGATAAATAATATTTGTGCAAATAACAATATGGCAAGAAGGATTTGTGGCAGATAACAGTCACACCACACAAATGCCAGGCAATGACTAACTCCATTGTTATGGACCAGACCAAACCCCTTTAAAATATTCAGAAGATAGTCTAGACCGTAACCTTTTCTTATTTTAAAGGTAAATGTAAGGTGTTGCATTCCAGATGCAATTCGATTGGTCAAACCACCAGATTCAAAGCAAAACACACTTTATTCATCCATTATAGTTAAAATACAACAAAAGAAAAAAAAGAATTGGAATAACTTAACTCTATTGGAAAACTTAACAGAATAATAGACACTGTAACTTTACCAATGAATTGTTCCAACATAGTAACATGCTATAAACACACCCTTGGCAAAAGGCAAATTCAGAA